AAGTGCCTCCACCATAGCAGGGAAACTATCATAGTTCACAGCATTAAATGGAATCCCAGCATCGTACATCCATCTACTGAACACTTAACAACCCTTCCCCTCATTTCTTTTTTAGCTGCATCCATTTCTTTGTTAAACTGACCTTTTCTATGCTTTACTACATCTTCAGGATTTGGTGTAAGGAAAGTATCTAATGGACCTTTAGGTCGTGATGTTTTGAATATAGATGTAGATGTCGATCCTTGACTAGATGTGTTAGATTTATTTGTCCGCAACATTTTGGATGGTTTAGCAACTAAAATATCATCTGTCCTCACATCAAAGTCATCTTCTTCTTCTTCTTCAGCAAGGTTGACATTTGATATGTCATTAAACTGTTCATTTAAATCTTTTTTTTTCAACATGGATGCCTTAATTTCAGACTTCAAATGCTCGGGACAGTTAGAGCAAGGCCTTGCATTCCTAAAACCCCCAACGAGGTGTTGTTTGTAGCGTGTAATTCCTCCTTTTGTTATTTTACCATAAAAAATGCATGTCACACAGTTGTTGTCGGATTCATTTGTTAGTATAGCATATTTCCATGCTGGATCTTTTTTTAAAGATTGAACTGAATCTGACATTTTATAATCACCTAAAAGCAAACAAATTTAGATAAAAGAAACATAATATTGTCCAAGAAACATAATATGGGGGCTCCCGGGGGTCCAAGGGGGCGCTGCCCCCTGGCGGGGTTCGATTTAGTTGTACCGAGCTGTACCGAGCAGTACCGAGCATTTACATAGCAGTACCGAGCGGTATCATGCATGTACTTAGCAATACCGAGCATGTACCGGCTTTTGACATCATCCATTGCTTTATAAATGAAGCCCATGCCTAAATTTTTCTCTAAATCCACTATCTCAAAGCTTGAACCAACGACCATGAGGTTGGCATTGCACATATAACGCTCAACCAAAATATTTCATTTTGAATAATCTTCTTAACTTATTTCCTCTCAGTTTTATTTGCCCAAGCACATGTAAACCATTGTGTGGAAATGAACACGGCTTCCAATATATGCTTAGCATTCAACATGCTCTATAGAGTCAAATAGATTGTAGCAAATACAGTTGTAGCAAGGGGTAGGACCGTAGGAGTTCTTTTTCAAAAAATGTGCTCATCAAAAATAAAACTTAGAAATGGCTATAGATGATTTTATATCTTCTTTGCTTTTGTCAAGGCATCTTTTTGTTGAGGCAAGGCACCAAGCTTTTTTAAAATTAAATCTATGCAAAGTGTCACACAAGATATCCAATACAGGTGTCTTCTCTTCTCCATTAACTTATTCCCATATGTCTTATAAGCACTAGCATTATTTGCCACAACTTGTACCACCAAATGCTCTCAAATCTCATATATCACTAGAAAAGTAGTCCAAAAATATACTTTGCATTCTTGACCAGATCAGGTGTTTGACAGATTTTAAAAATTATTAACTAAAATATTTATCAAACTTCTATTCTTTATATCAGACCAACCAACAACCATGATGTCACTCTAGTCTAACTCCAAGTCTAATTTCTTCAACGAATCTTTCAATAAATATTATTCAGCTCCTCCTTCAATATCCAAGTTTTCAAATCATATATCGACGACAATTTCAAGTCTCAACCATAAACACCTATGGAGTGAATCATATTAAAATAAGTTGGGGAGGATGCTACATTAACTAGGATGGAATTTGCATGATTTTAATGTAGCTAGTTTGAACACCATCATATTTGTTTGAATCAAACTTGAGCTCAAACCAAATAATCCTTAGGCTTGGTTCCAGTTCATTGGAAATTCTACAAAGAATATAAAGTTCTCAAATAAAGGCAAAATCTTTAGTAGTACTTTACCAACTATTAAATATATAATGTCACCCCAACATTTTCTAGATATACTCAAACGTTAAATTTATTTACCTAGTTATATTACAAATCCAGCATTACATTCTCATTTATGCCAAACTTAGCATACGAATCAATAACCATTTTACAACCCAACATTTAAATTCATAAAATATTGCGGCCTAATTAATATTTTATAAAATTGACCTTAAGCCTCTTTAATATCTGCTTCACACAAACCTCCATAGACAATTCTCTATTTTAACCATCAATCGTTAACTCTAAAAATTATATCCTCGTTATATATATATATTCGTTTGTATAATAAATGCATAAACCTATCACATATGAAGTATCACCTAATCTCAAAATAATTTGAAAAATAATTATTAAGACCATACCATTAAAATTGTGCATCATTTATTTAATCTTTGTTCTATTAATTCTAATATCACCATCTTCTAAATATTTCCTTCAGTATTCTAATTGTTCACTTATTTCAGTAGATATCTTACTACTTAAAACTGTATCATCTTCAAAAAACAAATACTAAAGCACCTAGCTTTGTAAGCATCTTCTTAACAAATACAAAATGATATGAACTCAATATTGATCATTGATATTAACCTACATTAATTAGAAACTCTAAGGTCACCCCAAAACAAAATATAATATTAGATAGTATACAAATATTTAATAACATCAACATATATTTGGCAAGCTCCTTTTCATCTTAGAACACACCAAATGAATTCATATGTTACTCAATCATATGCCATTCCAAGACCCAAAAAAATCATACAAAAATATTTTCTTATTCTTTATACCTATCCATTAATTTTCTTGCTTTCATAGTAGAACTTAGTATGTAACCAACTTATTCTATAAAATTGATGCAAATTTTCTAAACATATATTTTATTACCCGCTATCAAAGGAGAAATTATTTTGTGCAAAATCTTGTCAAGGAAACTGTGAGTGTACACAATGTATATACACTGTATACTTTTATTTTTGTACACAATGTATACACACTATTTACACTCACATGTCCGGACGCAACTCTGCGTACAAACTTCACATTGAATAATTTCTCCTATCAAAGGATCACAGAATCAAATTACATTTTCAGTGCTCATGTGGGTGGTTAAGAAGCCAATGATATCCAAGTTGAGCATGGCAAAATTATGAATTTTAATAACCTCATGATATGAAACTATAAAAGGGATGATTTGAGAAATTATTATATTATAAGAATAATGTGAGTAGCATACATAAGGAAGATTAGATAGTGAAACATATACTTACCTGGCTTAAGCATGTAGAAGAATTATATTGAAGCAATAAAATGAGTGCATAAAATTAATGTCTAAGAATTAAGAAGAAAAAAAGGAAAACCTAATATAACATGAAAAGAAGTTGTGCATGAAATATATGCAAAACATGTTCAATGAACATGCAAACAAGACCAAATAGAGAATGAAAATTCACTGTGGGATAAATCTAATGATGAGGAGGATGATGACACATTCATAGGAAACTACTTTCTCATTTATAACCAACTTCCATATGTAATTTGCATTCGCTACAAAACAAAACATGTACTACAAAACTATATCAACAAGGAGAACACCAAATCATTACCAATGAAGAATTAGAAATGGTTTGATCAGTAAGTATCAAGTGTGGAAAAGGAGCATTTTAGGATCCTTGACAAGAAGCTAAAAGTCAGTCACAATGAAATATCCATTGTTAGTAGTCATACCTCAATTTTCCGATCCAACTTGTTGAGAATTACATTTCTCTCAAGGTACTCCACTGCATGTGGGTTCAGATCATTTGCATATACATACTTCACTTTCTTTGCAGCCGAAATAGTTATAGGGCCAACACCAGAGAATACATCACCTGTTAAGTAGAATATACTTGATATAAAGTGAATGACAACAATTAATAAGAAGAAACATGCAGAGAAAAATCAAGCCTGAAACACAAAATACACGTTCAGAGATATGAAGTGACAGTTAGATGATATATAATAGGTGATGAATAACAATATGCGCCAGTAGTTCTCACTATCACCAACAATTAATCAAATTTGTAATATAGAAATACGGAAAAATAACTCCTAACTAAGGCGGGATAATTGACAACGTACCTTTGAAAAACCAAAATGAACTTCAATTCCTTTGAGAGCTGCAACTGAGGATATTTTCCTTAATTTTAAAGATGCTTTGTGAAGTTATCATTCTTGTTTGTTTACAGGAACACATTCACATCTGGACATACAACGTATGAAAATTCTACAATTTGAGGTTTGTGGCATTTTGAAGGTTTGAATGGACGGTCGTAACATCGCATAGCTGTCAAGGCATAAGCTAAGGCCTCAATTTTATTTATTGTTTCAAAGATTCCTAAATGATCGAACTGTCACACTTGAATAAGGTGATAAGGTAAAAAGCATTAAATATTAAATTTAGTTGGATTTGACCTAAGACTTGCTTTCACAGGAGAATGGATCAACCATTAAAGCTTTAATGGCAACTGGATTTTTTTTCCTACAAGAAGTTGATAGAGCATAGCATATAAAAAAAAATTCTCCAACCACAAATATTTTCTTATGATCTAAACAAATTTATCTATCAAATTTGTCCCACAAAAATCTCATTTTAGATGTCTATGATACTTGAACAAACAACATAACTTCCCCTTATTCGGCCTTTTAATTAAGGTGAAAACTTCTCCAAGTAAGTTTGGCCTTCCAAAAGGATATGCTGAATTCCAGGCTATACAAACTCTCAATCAAAAGCTCATTTATCATATCCCAGACCAACACCAAAAAGCTCTTGACGAGACTATATTTCCAAAAAATCCTATGGAAATCAGTTGACCTAGCATTTTACTTCCTAAAATTTGGCAAGCTTCTGCCATCATATGCTTGATTATTTAGTTTCTAATATTTATAACTATGTATAGTTGATCCATGAAGCTAGTGTAATAACCCAAACTCTTAACTATCGAGGTATTGTTCATTTTGGCATAATGGCCTTTTTTGTCCCGTTAGTGTAACTTCCCATTAGGTCACCCATCTCATAATTGTTTCAGCACGAGCACGCTTAACTTTGGAGCTTCTTAATAAAACTTCAACCATTGGTATAACTTCCTAGGAGGTCAACCATATAGGGTTCAAAAGGTGGCCCCCATGGAGTAGCACTTTGTCTTGTATGACAGTTAGTTATCATGTTTTGGCTGGTGTATTGCTCTGATACCATTTTGTACAGCTCTAATTCTTAACTTATCTACTTTGGCCTAATGGCCTCAAAGTTTTATCCAATTGGTGTAACTTACCAAATGGTCACCCATCTGATGATTGCTCTTGCATGAGCATGCTTAACTTTGGAACTTCTTAATAAAATGGTTGAGTCTCGATGTTTAAGAGTTTAGCTTTTTTTAATTAAGGGGTTCCACAATAAAAAATTTGGACCATTTCCCGATATATGCGTGTTATCCTCGCGCAGGGGCCATGCTAATCTTCAGTGCATCGTTCAAATTTTATTGGATGTCTTAATTATGAGGCTTCATTGTTTAAAATTGTGCAATATGAGGATCACATTAAGGCCCACCTTAACGCAATTCTAATGAAAAATGCCTCGAGGCTTACGAGGCTTGCGCCTTAGCTTGGTTGAAGCCCGCCTTAAAGCGCGCCTTGCCTCGCTGGCATGAAGCTTATGCATCACCCAATTTATATATTTTTTTTATTTAAAACTTACATAAATTTTAAAGTAAAGCCACGAACAAATCGCGCATTCATGCACCCCCAAGTCGCAGCAACTTCCACTTGACTGCCTCAACCTCCAGCCCGTCAGCTTCACCACCGTCACAACCGTCATCAATGATCACTTGAAAGCACCACACCACCACCACCTCCTCTAAAAATTTTGAAGTATTAATCTCATCTTTATGTTGACGAAAAGCATTTATGAAAGAGGAAGATGACTGAAATAAATGAAGAAAAATCATATTGGTAGGTATTGAACTCCACAAGATGAGATAGGGGAGACACTAATTTGTTATAATGACGACTCAAATAAAGACCCCCTCAGTGATGACAGTATAGATGCTTTTCTAGTTGTTGCCAATTGTTTCAGGCTTTTTTAAAAATTAAATATGGATAAGCAGGGAACTGGAAAAAAAAAGATTCTGTAGTTGAGCTTCATGTTATATGATACTTTTATGCATTTTCTATATTAATATTTTTTTGCTCATGTAATTTTTGTACTTCAATTCAAGGTTGTGAAAACCGGACCGGGCAACGAATCGGTAGAGAGAGCGGTTCACGGTTCGACCAGTTCAACCGGTCGAACCGGGGTCGAACCGGATGATGTAATAAATACAATTTAGATGATATAAAAATCAAATAATAATATAACTTTTTAATTAAAAAATAAATTTAATTCTTACATTACTAATAACTTATATAATTTTAAATTTAAACATATTCAATTTTTAAATTTAATTTAAATTTAACAAAAAATTAACTTACAAATGAATTAATAAGTTTAATATAAATAATCCTTAATTTGTTTTTATATTTATGATTTATATATTAGATTCATATTATTATTTTACATTTATAAATTATTGAGGTTAAATTAAATCATTTATTATAAATAATAAATAAATTAATTAATATTTATGATACATAAAAAAATAAATGATGAATATAATTTATTTAATATTATTAATTAAAAATAAATATTATTTCATCATAAAAATATTATTTAAAAAAATTATTTTAAAATGAATAGTGTATGTTGCAAACTTAAAAGTTAAGAAGAAAGATATAGGAGCTTTAGATTTTTTAGTCCCACATCACTTGGGAGACTTTCCCTTGGTGAAGCTTTTACTATATATTAGCTTTTGAGCTAGAAAGTAGTAGTACTAGACTTTCCCTTCATGAAATGCTTGTTTGAAATTTTTTAATTTAAAATAAAGCATTTCAAATTTGAAATTTAATTACAAATATTTTTTAATTAATAATTCAAAATAAGTTATTTAAAATTTAAATATTAAAAAATACAAAACTTGAACCGGCCGGTTCAAGAGAACCGTGACCGGTTCGCCGATTCACCGGTTGAACCAGCGGTTTTGGACAAAACCGGCCGATTTGAAGATAAGCCGGTTTTCAGGTCAAACCGAACCGACCTTTGGACCGGTTCACGGTTGAACCGGTCGGACCGGCCGATCCGGTCCGGTTTTTAAAGCATTGCTTCAATTATATTTCATACAATTTATCACTTGTCAATTTACATCTTGTGCACTTTTTTTTTCATATGTATATCAATTTGCTACTTCATAGTTCAATAAAATGATAATATGTCATCCTTTAACATATTAGTTGGGTATTATATAAAAAATCACTTTTAACCTTTATTTGCACTTTACGAGATTTTTTTATTTTGAGGCTCTCACCTCAAAACGCCTTGAGGATTACGCCTTGCCTCACGAGCAAAAAATGCCTCAATATCCAATTGCGTAATTTTAAACGTTTTGAGGCTAAGCTTCACAACTAGAAAAATTGGATAAGTTCTTTGTAGCTCGTTCATACTAGCACTACTCTTTTTTTCATGTTTTTAACTTCTTGAAGGTTTAGTGGCCAATAGCATCAAACAAAAAGCTTAAGCTACACAATTGACATTCAAACCAACAATGCCCTGGTTATGAGTCGTGAAAAAAACAATTTAAGTCATTTAAGAACAAGATCAAAAGAAACAATGACAATTTCAAATATTAGTAAGGGATTAAAGAGAAACCAAGGAACTTCATAGTCCACAAATGCACGATTTACCAAAAGAATAGGTGCCAGGATGATCACACAACACAGGAGGCACACATGAAATCTAAACAAAACTATAAAGATACTTACAAACTACATCAGAGCTTGTAAAAGACCTTACAAGCCTTTGCCTTTCAGTCGCCAATCTAGAATTCCAATAACTGCAAGGCAATGCATCCAAATTATTAGGTCATAATTCTACATATAATTAAAAATAAATAAAAAGTTAACAGAAGGTTATTTTAACAGGATTAATTCTGAACCAGAGAAAAAAAAACTATTCTGCACCATACCAAATTCTGGTTAAGTGCTGACAATTCAGATGTCTGATGGACATAACTGTTCAGTCAACAGATGAATCTAGCAAAAAATGTGAAGCTACCAATGTAAAATTACTGCATGTCTTGGTTTATGCTATGCTAACATTTTACTCACAGTAAACTTCAGTTCATTTGATTCATATATGATTGTAGATGACCATCAAACTACAAAATGGTTAATGTATATGTATGCATAAAGGCGAACTAATCAGCATAATGTGCAACCGTCATTTGAAAATTAACATGTACTTACACCAACCTCTCGTAACTTTCTATTAATCACAATAATCTAATCAAAATGGTGCTTTAATGAATTTCAGACCAACACATTTATTTCCATTTATAGCAAATGTAAAAACAGTACTCCTTCAAGATGAGTTCTTCAAAAGTAACCTTATTATGCGCAAAATCATCATCTTAAATGTCTACGAATGAACTTCTCTTGACAATTACCCCCTCTTTCTTAAAATTAAATTGTGAGAAATCTCCTTGCTCTTCAGATACATATTATTGTATCCTGAAAAGTTAAATAAGCACTTCTTAAGACAGACATGTGCAATTACCACCTCTAGAATTCATATACTTCTGGTTTAAATATAAATTACAACCATACTATTTTCTACAAGGAAAAAGCACCCTTTACACTAGACAATCCATCATTAAGCACTGGAACATAATTACTGGTATAATCTCGATACATCACCATATAACAAAACTCTCACATATGAACCCAAAAGAAAAAAAAAATGTTAGTTGCAAGTTCCATGCTAAACTCACTTGCATCGTATTAGCTACATAAGCTTCACAAACAATGTACATCAAAATAAGAATAGGTACACCTTGAACCCTGTACTGATTGACCATTAACAGTGCCATAGAAAACTGAAGTTAGATAAAGAACAACACTCAGCTACACAAAAATGGAAAGTAGGAACCAGGTACATACACTTTGGCCAAATCAACTAGAAATTTGATCCCATTCTCTACAACTGTAGTAACAAGGGAATGGTTGCCAGCCAATATTTCTAGTTGCATGGTTCTATAATCATTTTGAATTGCATCTATCTTGTTCACAACTGTTTGTATTTTTGGCCAGTTCTTGTCAAGAACTACCTGAATAAAAAATGCAATATTTCCTCATTGTACAATCTACCACATTAAAAATATCAATGTGTAAACGAAATTACATTCAGAATTTCCTTGATAGTTTAAGTATTAGTGCATTGCAATGTTGATTGGAGTTTTGATCAACACAATTAAATTAAAAACCTGTGCAATAAGCTTCTTGTAAGGAAGGTGTTCTTCACCCAAGTTCAAGTGTGCAATGTGCCCCACTGTTTCAAATCCAGTCGGAACTACTATACTTTCAGGAAGTAAAGTCTCCAAAACCTGCAAGCACACGAGGATTAATAGTATTGGAAATTTAGACGGCATGAAACATTTAAAAAGTATCACTCTATTCATGATCCGCTACAAGAGTGTGTGGATTGGGGGAGTAATTGAAGCTGGTACAAATAAAAAGTGTTAAATTCATAAAACAAACCTCGTCCATATGCCAATAGTTATAGAACAAAGTTAACTGGCACCGTATAAGTTCACATACTGGTAACTTACAAGGCAAGTCACCTCCCTTCAGAACTGCCTAGACATAGGAAACAAAATCAAAACACTTAAGCATCCGCTGAGCTAATCATCCACTACATCAGTTCGAAGATCACGAAGGATCACCTGAATAGATAATAAAATGCTCACAGAATGCAGTTTCAAGCAAAAAAAAAAAAGGTAATGCTATTGTATGAAACAGGGAATCAATAATACAATAAATGTATATTACCATCCCACTCCTCCGCACTAAACAACACTAGCATCCTTATTCAAATTATTGACACTAATTAAATAAAGAAATGATAAAGTCATTATTGAAATACTGCAATAAATTAAAGATCCCAATTTGGGGGAAATCAATGCTCCAAATATGAGAGGTGACCATTCAATTGCAACAACAAAATCCAGTATGATCTTAGGGATATATGATTACAGCAGTAAATATTTTGATTTCAGCAAACATGTATATTAGAAATTGCTAGCTGTATGGATGCAACTATTTGCTAACTTTCCACTTAGGCTTCACTGTAACATCACACCAACAATCTACTCCCATGAACATAAAAGTGTGCTACAAAGCTCGCCAGCCACTCCATCAATGCCTCTAGCCGGGCCGCATAATTCCTATTGCTGCACAACTCCAAAGAATCAGTGCACGAACTCACCCCATCAACAATGCAAACGCACACGCCCTCTTCACCGCCACACACACAACCTACTACGCCAATGACCAACACCCAACTCATCCAACACCTACTTCTCATTCCCGGTGGATCTACCACCTGTGTCGTGTACCCGGCATATCGATACTCATTAGCTATCCTTAGTCCCTCTTCTGACACCTTTGGCCCCCTCACCATTACTATCAACCCATTGGTCAACCTCATTGTTAAATGTTTCTTCAACAAATGAACCTTCTAACCTCAATAAACCTGGAATACTCTAACATAACCCTCACCATCACAAATCAGCTCGATGCCCTAACCAACCCCATCACTTCAATTTTATCTATTAAACTCTAATTAAACTCAGGTCCACAATTTACATTTCTTGAAATTTTCAATTAAACACCTTTCTAGATGGGTATGATATACTCAGCTACATTAATGGAGAAGTTCCATGCAAGCTGGAAACTGACTGGGGTAATCATCACTAGATTCTTCAAGGCCAACTTATTCTGAAAGCTATCACTGACTCATTCTATCCCTTCTTCCAATCATTGCAAGAGCTACTAATACTCATGAGGCATGGCACACTCTTGCTCATATTTACGTCAAATCCTCTCACAATTACCTAAGACAACTTCGAAACAAATAGCAAAAAAAGCTCTCAAAGTGTTACTGTTAGAAAACGGATGCTCTTTATGCAAAATCAGCGGACAAAATACAAGAAATTAGGGGAAAAAAACCCCACAAATATTTTTTATTGAAAGAAGATGCAAAAAAAGCAAGATACATTAGGATCCTCAATTGGAGAGGAGGATATGGCTCTCTCAAATCTCTAGTTGTCGACCAGAGCCCAAACACCCTAAGAAAATCTCTAAAATTCAGCAAACACGAGATCCCCCAAACCCTAGGAATTTTTCCCCCTTAAAGCATACAATCCAAAAGGAAATCCCTAAACAGCCCCCCCCCTCTCTCTCTCTCTCTCTCTCTCTCTTGAATTTTCCCTCCTAAACTACATTAAAACCCTCATTCCAAACAGCTAGAGGATCGGGCGGCATTTACGAGGACGGAACTTTTGTTCCGCCTTCGAAAGACCTGGGCCGGTTCATGTTGGACCGGCGGGATAGTCCAGTGACCGGTTCAACAATTCCTCCCTCCTAAAGTCCCACCTTGCCCTCAAGGTGGAAGGATAGAAATTGATGTTTCACTCTCTCGTATGCCTCCCAATCCAGCATAAGTGGCAACTACAGGGCTAATTCCTGAAGCTCTCCCATGCATCTAGATAAGGCATCAACAGCCTTGTTCTCCAATCCTAGCCTATAATGGATCTCAAAGGTATAGCTTAATAACTTGGGCAATCACCTATGATGCTCATCGGTCACCGCCCTCTACTCCAATAGGTACTTGAAACACCTCTGGTTCGTCCTGACAATGAAATGTTGGCCCAACAAGTAATGTCGCCACTTCTGGATAGCTAACACAATGGCCATCAGCTCCCTCTCATAGACTAATTTCAGTCTAGCTCTGGCCGTTAGCGCCTAGCTGATGTAAGTGATGGGCATGTGATTATACATGAGCGCTGCCCCTAATCCAAACCCTAATGCATGTCTCTACCACAAAAATCCGACAAAAATCCAATAGGGCCAAGCCCGGTATTATGGTCATGGCCTTCTTCAATCTCTAAAAGTCCTGGGTAGGATCTCTTCCCATAGGATGCAATCCTTCTTCAGTTGCTTCATCAAAGGCCAATTTATGGTGTTATATCCCCTCACAAATCTCCTGTAATATCCAATCAATCTTAGGAAGCCCCTCAGCTCTCTCAAATTCCTAGATAGAGGCCACTTCTGCATTGCCTCAATCTTTTCTTAGTTTGTAGGTACCCCCTTCTGAGATACCACATGCCCCAAGCATTCCACACAAGCCTGTGTAAAACAAAATTTCTTCATATTAGCCCTTAGCTGATGTTCCTGTAATACTTCTAAGACCACCCTCACATGCTCAAAATGCTCCTCTAACAATTCATCTATCATGTGTCATCACTAAGAACTCGTAGTATCCCTTGTGTCATGCACGCAGTCTTTAGGACACCCTCTTCTCTCATCCGGATATAATGATACGTCAACTTCAAATCCATCTTTGTGAACACCACTGCTCCACACAGCTCATCTAATAATTCATCTATCACCAGAATGGGAAACTTATCCGGCATAATCTCCTTATTAAAGGCCCGATAGTCTAAGTAGAATCTTCAACTCCCATTCTTCTTCTTGACCAGTAAGACTGAGCTAAAAAATAGACTCACACTCAGTATGATGATCCCTACCTTCAACATCACCTGCTACCTCGGTGGTGGTAAATCTTGAGGTGGTTGAAAAATCTCATTAAACTATTGTATAAAAGATTGCACTGAAGAAGGAATGGGTTCATCTTCCTCCTACCTAACCCCATCTAAGCTTTGCAACTCCACCAGAAATCCTCCTACCACCTCCTATAAGGTCCTCACCATGGTTTTGAATGACACCATGGCCTTGGATAACCCTACATCACCCTTGATCATCATTCTCCTTCCCTCCACTACCAGCTACATTGTCAGTACTCCCCAATTAACCTTGGTATCCACTACAATTTGTAGCCACTTCATTCCCAAGATAACATCAGTGCTTCCCAACTCTATGAAAGAAAGTCCTCCCTCATATGGATCCCCTATATGATCAGAATCACTCCTCTACACACTCCTCTTCCATTTGGAGCCATGGCGCATAGCGCACGGCGCGGCGCCCGCTATTTTGAACATGGCGCAAGCTATATAAAAATTATAAAATAATAAGCATGAATATGAAATATTATTAAAAATGAAAGACAATCTATCATAATAATAAAATACAACCATAACATATATAAGTTCGACTAAGTAACATTCAAATATCTCATAATTCAAATACTACAATCTTTTTTTTAAAAGATCAAATAAGAATTTAATCTACTCTTCTTGAGAATCATCATCATCAGCAGCAAATGTTAAAAAAGCTTCATTATCTTCTTCAACATTGTCTCATACTTCATAATCCTCTTCATCACCCTCGATACCACTACTTCATAATCCTATAAGAACTAAATCTGACTTTTTATGATCACCTATAAGCAAACAAATTTAGATAAAAGAAACATAATATTGTCCAAGAAACATAATATGGGGGCTGCCGGGGGTCCAAGGGGGCGCTGCCCCCTGGCGGTCAGGTCGCG